AACAGATAATGGTCGGAGGGTCGAATTGGTATAATGCGAAAAGCGTTCTTCACGTCGGTTTTTGCAAGAAAACATCCAGGTCCCGCGAGTTTAAGTAAACGAATAGCATCTGCAACTGTGGCATAGTGCACGCTAGTGTTTTCGGTAGCTATGCCATCGTTGACAGAAGAACCGCGCGGGAAGGACAAATGGTGAATCAAACGAAATTCGCCTATGGTCTTTTTTTGGACTAGACCTAACGGAGAAACCCTAAATGGGTGAAATGGCGCGGCAGTAAAAGGCCCCGCAAGCCTGAGAGCTGACAGTTCTTTAGCAAGTTTTTTATCAACCACGGTTGGATTAGCTAAAGCCGAAGGCAGATTTTTGCCTTCTTTGGTATTAACAACACCAGAAAAATGTAACGCAAAACCATGAGTAAAACCAGAAACGAGCGTAGAAATTATGTCTGCAAAATAGCCGTTTAAATATGGCTCAAGCCGATTTAGGTTGATGGGCGTTGGGAGCAGCACCTGACTTGGCAGAATTACGGGTTGGTCTGGGAAAATCTCGCCTGAGTTGGCCACGAAAATTACACTTAAGGCCAGGGTGTAGGCCGTCACACTTAAAACAGGAATGTTTAAATTCACACCCAGAACAAGCCTCTCCTTTGTGAAACTTGAAGCAGTAGCCTCGAGGAATTGAATTTTGCGGCCCCTTACCAGAAAGGTTAGACGGGGCATGTTGCATTCTACTGGGTGATTTTTGCGAAGTATGCTGCGATCGCAGCCACAATTCCCAATGAACATTGGCCCAAGACAACAAACTCCGCTGGGTTTGACGCAAAAAGCGAAAGTTTTCATCATAGAACCGCCAATTTTGACCCCGATCTGCCAAGTCCTGTACTATATCCCCGTATTTCATGAGTGCGGGGGACTCATGAGGATACTTTTGAGCATAAACGCCTACAAAAATGCGAAACGCACTCATCCAAACAGAAATATTTGTTATTTTCTTGGCTTTACTTATCGGCTCTACAGAAAGAGATGGTGGTAAACCGGCGTCAGAAGAGCTAAAGCTCAATTGGAATTTGTTATCTGACATTGGATTGCTCAACAAAGACCCGAAATCGATGTATTCATCGTTCCAAATTTTATTTTTAAGTTTAATGGAAATCCGACAGTCTATAGGTAAACTAATAGAGTGATATTCCTGCGTTGGTTGAACATGGCTAGAAGTAGGCGCCAAAAACGTCTCACCTGAAATTGTGGCGTGGGCCGAACCAAGAGCGTTGGAAACAGCAAGTTGCGCCACAGCCGTCGGAGGAGTCGCAACATGCTCTGAGATGCGGACAATAGGCGATTCCGTAACTGGGGCAGCAGGTCCCGAAGGAGAACTCGATGGGACTGCGTGGACACCAGGCACTGGAGTTGTTACAGGTTGCAGGCGTCGAGTCACTTCGGCGGTTCCGGAGCAGACGATCTCTTGGAGCTGTTGGGGCGTGATAGCCGAGGCTGGAGCAAGAGGAGCAGCTGTTGCTGGCCGAGGAGAACTGGACGAAGGAACCGTCGTGGTTGTTCCTGAGGCACGGGGCGCTCGAGCGCGATGGGAACGGCGTGCTGGTGGTACGGCTACCGATACAGGTCGCTGAGCACGTTGATTTCGAGTGGCGGGCATGGTAAAATTCCTGAAAAACACACTCAGAAACGTAGTGGGAGAATACTAAAAGCTTATGAAGTATAAAATCTAACAAGATAAAATAAAACTAAAATATAGGCTGGGTCGAGCATGGCACACACCAGTAAAACGCCACTAAGAAATAATGAGGACGTAGCCTCAGATTAACACGTGTGAGGACGTAGCCATCACAAATAAGCGAGAATAAAATCTCACAAGGATTATAAAGTATGGACTACTTCTCCAAATAAAACATATTCTGTGTGGACGTAGCCAACACCAGAATCAAAGTGTGAGGGCGTAGCCTCGTGCAAGAAGAAATCTAAATAGAATTAAACAGTATCTGCTGACATAAAAGTATAAAAGACATACAACCGAAGATAACAGACTAACAACTAGGAAGGCTTGCTAAAGCTTTAAGAATAGCACCGCGATAACTGCGATACAGCGTGTATTGCGCTCTACGATTGAAATGAACACCGTCTGGTAGAAACGGAGATTTTACGCGCTGTAAGAATCCCTTATGACTCCAGCAAAAAACGTTGGGAACACCGTCCAGAACGACCTCTAAATATTGGTTCAAAATAAACGCCTGCCTGTTGAACTCCGGGAAGCTGCCCGATGTGTAATTAGGCAAACCCCTACTATCTGAACATAAGGGAGCTGAAGTAAAAGATAAACGAGGTCATCGATTTTGGAACCCACTACTTCGGGTTTGCTATGGCTAAGGTCATTAGTACCCACTTCCAAAATTACAATGGCAGGCCGAAATGAACGAACTTTATCTAAATCGAACGCGATCAACTTGTCTAGTGTGCGTCCCCTAATTCCATGCAATTTGACGGAGGCCCTTTTTATATTAAAACTAATGGCCGCACGGACGTCGAAATTAGAGCGCAAATCGCGATGGAGACGTTTGACAAACGAGTGTCCAAAAACAAGAACTTTTGGGCGTGACAATTCCATAATACCCAAATTAAAAGTATCAAAATATAAGAAGAATATAAGAATAATAATAATTGAAAATCTCACCTGTATAAAGGTAAAAGAAAGAAGTCCAAAACGTCAAAGAAAATTCGTATGTCTTCACTCGATCACGAGAAAGGTTGAATTGAGAAGTGAATAACTTTGCTTTGCTTTTAGTAGCTAAAATTTGGCCTTGACTTAATGTTTCTTACGTAGGTAAAAGCACCGGAATTTCCTTCTCCGCCAAGTCCCACCTTAATCTGCCACAATCCAATCTAACTATTTCCTACTTTTATCTTATCACTATAATTCAGGCTTGACATAAAAAACCATATTTCCGTAGGAAATATTTTTATTTTGTGAGGATTTCAATGGTACTTTTCGTTTTAAAGGGGAGGAGGTAAATATTTACTCGCCGAGTTATTTACATTAGAAACAATTGAATCGTAATACTGTGGTTGTTGACATGACGAGAATGAGTTTTACTGGCAAAACAGATTTTAAAAGAATAAATTAGCACATTCCGTTCCGTCAAAGTACAATATGTCAAGCAAATGAAACAATGCACTGACGAAGCAATCATACAATTAAGAAGGTTTTATTATATTTAATTCAAAAAATGATTTAAAATAACCTTTAAATGACAGCGATATATGCGTTAGTACTAGACTCCACAATGTAGTGATTTTTCACATGCCGTACCTGTGTCAATGTTGCAATGGCAAAGAGATATTTCCAGATAATGGCATCATGATTGGCAGCAATAACACTGAAAGCCCACGATAGCCCAAGTGTTGGATATAAAATGATAATACCCCGCGCAGCAGAACTAAAAATAATCAAAGTAAGTTTTAGACAGATTCGTGAATATGAACAGATTGTAGTGCTTCGATCAGATTATTAATTTAAACCAAAGCAGTTGCGAGTCTTGTAAATATACATTACATTGTCAATATAATATCATGCAGTCAATATCGTCAAAATAAATTTGACATTCACTATATATACATTATTCAAAAACTCGTTAATAACTCATGAGGAAAATACAAACAAAATCTAATATTACATTGTCGGTGGTTTTATATGAGATAAAATGTATATATTTTTTTATAATCTATATTATGTGATCATGTTAATTTACATAAGCTTTATTTATCTTCGATTTTCTCGGCTTAGACAATGTTGATTTTTAAAATTACTTCGCCAATGTTACAAGATGGCTCGTTTTTTAAGCCATTTAAAACACTCGCCCAGGCAGGGTGCGATAATTCGTGTACTTACCTAACGGGGGTGCGCCAATATTACGGTCTGGTACGTCTTTGGTTTTTAACCAAGTTCCACATAGGTACGCCGAACTGTCGCAGTAGTAAAAGACTCCGTCTGGCGGCGGAAGTAATTAGTATGCAAACTTAGGTGCCGGAAGTAATTAGTATGCAAAATATATGACGTCACTTTGCTGGGCAAGCCTGGGCAAAAAATTTTGCGGGCAAAAATTTACACAAAAATTTACACAAACGTTTTACAAATTTATGCTTCTAATATATATCGTCACTTGTTTGAGAAGTTTCGCTATCCAATTAATTCGTCGTCGTGGCTACTTTCATCATCGTGGTTGCTTTCATCTTCCGTAATCCATTTGGTACGTCTTGGGACTGCGATATGAGAACACAGTTTTAGCATCTTTGTAGTTGATAGATTACTGCCTTGGCCTTGTCCTGTATTGTCCACGTTCTTTGCAGATTTTGTATTCGATTTTATTCTCTTCCTGGAGGATTTTGGGTGACGGATGGATATATTCTTTATTCCGTTTTTATTCCACTTTGACTGCTTTTTACTCTTCCCAATTAATCTGTACACCTCTACCAAAACATTTTCTAAGCCTAAAGCTGTTGGCTTAGCACCAATAAGATAAGGTTGTCTTTCTTCGGAAGAAAGTTCATGGACGTCTGCCAAATGGTTTGCAAATCTTTTTAAAGCTCGCTTGCCACAGATGGGGCAAACGTTACACTTCCGAGGCATAATGTCAAATGATAAATGTCAACTGATTTCCTAACATTAAATAGGCGTGGCCACAAAGCCCTTTTTTGAAGGTATGCCAGGACTTGGGAGAGAGGTAGAGAAATGGGTTAGGGAAAAAAGCTACCACACAGGATCGTATTTTATTTTCTATGTATAAACCAAAGACAAACAACCATTAAGAGTCAATGTCATTAGGAGAACATGTGTTTCTTAAAGTCTTTTCAAAAGAAATTTTCTCTTGTTAATAGCGGCCTCTAACGCTTCCCTGTGGTCGAAATTAGCATCGCTGACAAAGACATCCCTGGTTTCCATATATAATCTTTTTGTTTACTGGATCCCTCTTTAGTTGTCTTATCCAAAGTAAACGTTCCAGATAAAGATTCTGCAAATCTTTACGAAGTTTTGGTAGGATAAGTATGCCTTGTCTTTAGCTTCGTTTTCGTCAAAATCTTCTGTGGTGAAATTTTGCGTTAGTTCTTCGAATTCCGATAAACTTTGTTGGGCTGCTTCAACTTTTAAAGGAGCCCATGGATCGCTTTCGTATTCATCACCTACTTCACTACTAGTATCATCTGCATTATCAGAATGACTTTCTGACGCAGAATCAGTTTCCACTTCGTTGTCAGTTTTAAACGAATTCTCAACATCACTCTCTGATCACAGTTAATAGGCCGATTGATGGATGACAGGGGTACCGCCTCTCCACCAAGAGGATTCTAGAGAATCGGGCCACAAGGCCTTAGAAAAGGCCCTTAGGGCCAGTGCGAGAAGGGCTCTAAGGGCCTTTTCTAAGGCATTGTGGCCCGATTCTCTAGAATCCTCTCGGTGGGAAGGTGGTACCCCTGCCATCCATCAATCGGTCCCCAAGGCCACAGAAAAGGCCCTGAGGGCCACTTTTCGCACTGGCTCTAAGCGACTTTTTTAAGGCCTTGTGGCCGGATTCTCTAGAATCCTCTTGTTGGGGAGGCAGTACCCCTGTCATCCACCAATCGGGCCACACGTCCACAGAAAAGGCCCTTAGGGTCATTTCATAAAATGTAATGTTGTTCAGAAAATTGATCATTCGCCGGTTGGTTGTGGCTGGAGTTGTTTCAACCTAACAATATACGAAGGAAATACAGTACTGTTGGAAACCTACTACAGATTTCAGTGTAAAGATGAAAAGAATGAGAACGGCTGCAGACTCCGATAGTGCTACATCAGAGAGTGATGTTGAGAATTCGTATAACACTGACAACGAAGTGGAAACTGATTCTACGTCAGAAAGTCATTCTGATAATGCAGATGATACTAATAGTGAAGTAGGTGATGAATACGAAAGCGATTCATGGGCTCCTTTAAAAGTTGAAGCAACCCAACAAAGTTTATCGGAATTCGAAGAACGCAGAATTTCACCGCAGAATGTTTTGACGAAAACGAAGCTAAAGACAAGGCATACTTACTTATCCTACCAAAACTAGGTAAAGATTTGCAGAATATTTATCTGGAACGTTTACTTTGCATAAGACAACTAAAGAGGGATCCAGTTCACAAAAAGATTATGGAAACCAGGGATATCTTTGTCAACGATGATAATTTCGACCACAGGGAAGCGTTAGAGGCCGCTATTGACAAGAGAAAATTTCTTTTGAAAAGACTTTTCAGAAACACATGGTCTCCTAATGACATTGACTCTTAATGGTTGTTTGTGTTTGGTTTATACATGTAAAATAAAATACGATCCTGTGTGGTAGCTTTTTATCCTAACCCATTTCTCTTCCTCTCTCCCAAGTCCCGACATACCTTCAAAAAGGGCTTTGTGGCCACAACTATTTAATGTTAGGAAATCAGTTGACATTTATCATTTGACACATTATGACTCGGAAGTGTAAAGTTTGCCCCATCTGTGGCAAGCGAACTTTAAAAAGATTGGCAAACCAGTTGCCAGACGTCCATGAACTTTCTTCCGAAGAAAGACAACCTTATTTTATTCGTGCTAAGCCAACAGCTTTACAATTAGAAAATGTTTTAGCAGAGTTGTACAGATTAATGAGGAACAGTAAAAGCAGTCAAAGTGGAATAAAAGCGGAATAAAGAAAATACCCATCTGACACCCAAAATCCACCAGGAAGAGAATAAAATCGAATACAAAATCTGCAAAGAGCGTGGATAATACAGGACAAGGCCAACGCAGTAATTTATCAACTACAAATATGCTAAAACTGTGTTCTCATATAGCTATCCCAAGACGAACCAAATGGATTACAGAAAATAAAAGCAACCACGATGATGAAAGCAGCATGACGACGAATAGGATAGCGAAACTTCTCAAACAAGTGACGATATATATTAGAAGCATAAATTTGTAAAAAGTTTTGAAGAAATAAATACGTTTTAAATCTAAATTTTTATGTAAATTTATGCCCGCAAAGAATTGGTCGCGTTACCTTGTTGTGTTTGGTCGCGCTACCTGTCACATTTGGCCCAGGCTTGCCTAGCCAAGTGACGGCATATATTTTGCATCCTAATTACTTCCGGCACCTAAGTTTGCATACTAATTACTTCCGACGCCAGACGGGGGTCTTTTACTACTTGTCGCTGTCTGTGTACTTACATTTTGCTGGTACCATATGACCTTACCAAGCCAAAGGTATTAAAAATCGTAATGTTAGTTGAAAGTCAAAAACGTTTAAACGTTGTCGTACTTAAAAGTCGGTATATAGGTACGTCTGACATGTCGTTAAATGAAGAATTGTTGGACTGATGGGATGATGGAATGTTGGAGTTGATCCTGGTGTTTGTGTATGCCATCGTTGTCCTCCCCGTTCTAACTCGTAGTTCCAAATTACTGAATACCTTTCAGAACCCTGTACTTTATGTACTTCATTTGAAAGACTAAGTACACCTCGAGTCTCATGTTTGTATCAGCTCAAGTACGAAGCAATAATCATTGGAATACCAGTAAGCTACGACTAAAAATCTTGAATTATCGCACCCTGCTCGGAGTTCGTGCTTTATCAGGTACAAGGCACTCGGATGTCGGCTCGTGTAGCAGTCATGTTCGTGTTTTAAATAGTATTAATTGGTGCCAACATTTGTTAGGAAACCAGTAAAAAATTATTTGACATTTTCTTCATTCTTGCTAATATTTACTACGAATTTTATCGTGAAGAAATCAATGAAATTAACTAACACAATGTATTTCTTGTTATTTGTTTGTGTCTTGGCAGCACGAATAAGAACACGAGCCACAGCAACTAAAGCAACAAGAGTTACCTGAAAAACAACGAATTTATTTCAAGCACGAGTGATCCAAAGTTTGTTAAGTTTAGAGTAACAAACTTTATCATATTTCCTGCATCATTCTTCGTATGTTCGTCAATAGTTCGTCAAGGGCAAAAGAGTAAAAGCTCATTCTTTTGATTAAATGACCACACAAGATTGTACCGATTTTGTCAATATCAGATACAGAAACAGATCAACGTTGCTGTTTAAAATTCCAACTTGCTATACTAGGTTTTCATAGGGCTCCAACTTAATGGCTTTATTTGAAGGTTTTTTCATGATACTATAAAACTACAATAAGATATTTCATATGTTACGTTACGTTACGTTAAAGCTAAAATTATTCTTTGTGTTGTTCACTATATTGAAAAATGACGGATCTTAACATAATCATAGTGTTATTATAAAATGTGCCGCATAATGGCCTTAAACGGTGTTTTCTTCATTATCGTTTGATAGACCTTACCGATGTTACTATAATTACTGGTGCGAAAAACACCCAAACGAATCCTTCTTCGTAAGACAGCCAGCACCTAAAAAGTCAAAGACAAAAATAATAAAAATAATTACTATCACGATGAAGACAATGAAGAAAAAGATGCGGAAGACCACAAAAAAATTATAATGAAGATAATGATGCATTCATTCAATTCATTCAATTCATTCAGACAAAGAAGATGGTGCAAAGAACAGTACAATGTCAACAGCAAAAACGATCATGAGGAAGGAAAAGATGGCGAGAGGAAAGATAATAAAATATATAAAGATAACTAAAACTGACAGAATATAATTTAAAAATTGCTAAGAGACGACGGGGGGGAACACAAAGACGACTAGGAAAACAAGCCGATGAAAGAAAATAGAGAAAAAGGAAGTAAGAAACAGAAAACCAGGAGATAAACAGAAACACACAGGTCAAGTGGTGGCCATTGTGATATAATACATACCACTTATCTGTACCATAAGCATCAATCTTCAAACCAGAAGATAAACCAACGTATACCAAAGGAAATCCTGATTAAAACAGACAGGCTTATAATGAACAATTAATCAATTGTTAGTAATCAACATGGATAACATCAACCAGAATACAACAAAACATGCAGCCTCACCCTAACTAACATTTCAGTGTTATAAACGGAATTCCTTTATGAATAAGCAAGTTTTTGAATATCTTTTACTTTAATTGCATGGTAGTAATAAGAATTCATACGTATTCCACCTACCCCAGCCGAACGCATAAAAATTTCTCATTCTAACAAATTCTCCACCATACACGGAGATAAGTTTTAGATATAACATGGTTGCTTCAAGAAGAATCCAACAAAACGAAGCCATGGAAAAATAATGCAGTAAGATTGCCACAATCTTGCAGGATACCTAAATTGTTATAATTTGAGAGCAAACAATTACTATAACAACGTCTACTGTTAGCTATATAAATGTTTGATGAAAACATTGACAACTAACATCAGTTCGATATACATATTAAATTACCAACCACATTATGGTGGCACTTCCTCCCGCGAGGAAAACAATCTGTGTCAATCCTAAAGCAATCTGTAAGTTGAAATGTACCAGGTGACGACTGGTGGTCAAAATCTGAAGATCTTTGCTGAAATTGGCAAAAAATAAAGAAGACAAATTACATAAATTTTCATGTCATTTCAGCATGCTGCTTGAGTCACTTCCGCACATGTCACTTCGCAGAATTATAATCGCAGAATAGCTAATCGCAGAATTATAATGTCAAATTTAATACTATTCTTGTCGAATTTTCCCATTAAAATTTGTAGAAGATGCATGTAACTAATTAATGCATGCGCATTCTACCAATTTATGGTACACTTAGAACATTTAAAAAATACATTTCAGAAACAGGGCTCTGTATTTCTGTGGACTTGTCACAGTTTTAGCTTTTAGACAGGCTAAAGTAATCAAGACACACGAAAGTAAGTCGAGAGTTCTAAAAAAGTTGTATTAGAGTTAAATACTTTTAAATTTGTGCTAAAAGTCTTATTCTTTAATCTATGGTTTTATAATTGTTAACGTTATTTGCTTGTGGTATAGTTTCTTTGAAACCAAATTCAAAACCAATTGATGCATGGCTTCAGTTTCCCATTACGGTCAACACAGCTTCTCCTTTAATGTCCTTCACCGACTGGTACTTACTATAGAACAATATAGACAACACATGTGAAAACCAGGCCAGCCAGTGAAAGTCCAGATCCAATATAACTGATGAACTTCAAAGCAATTCTGTCGGCTTCCCTTGACTGCAAAATACACAAAATTGTTTTTTTTTGTCTTTTTTTCATTTAAATCAATTTATTGGACTTAAAGTCCCATGCGAGGCACTCCCCCGTTACAAACTATAAACATTTCTTAAAATATTTACATTAATAATAGCTATGAAAAAAACGGTGCTTGAGCACCAACTAACTCTCAAAACAGCACGCAACTTACAGTAAATGCTCGAATAAACGTAGGTTTACAGACCATGAATACGAACTTTATTAGAAATGACAATAAATCGTTGCTATTTTTGTAGCACTTACTTGAGCTATTTCAAGATGAAGGATGTAGTATAAAAACTATTACATGATGTTGCCATGTGGAGAATGATTGCTAACCACCACCACCACCACCACCCGCGCCCTTCCTACCCCCAGCTGGGTAGGAAGGGGGGGGGGGTGGTGGTGGTGCGTATATTTCGATTTTTAACAAAAAAATATACGTAATGACATTGCAGTGAAGGCACGTTTTGGGTCCGAAATTATCAAGAATTTTTCGTTCACAAAAGCCTGTACCTTCTTACACAATTATTCATTCAACTCTGAAGCACTGCAAATGGCAAGAGTTGGATTCCTAAATTAATGCAATGCTTATATTGTACTTACAATATTATAGACGTTATCCTACAGACAATGAGACAAGTGGATGTACCTCTGCATCAAGAACAACCATTGCGAAGCTTGATAAATGATTGGTTACGCATTCAACACTTTCTTGGTCAGTCGAACCAAGTTTCATTCCTTCATTACTCCATTCAATTCCATCCAAAAACATACAAAATATCTAAATTGAGCAATTCAGAAATCTGAATTAAAGGAAAGCTTTGAAATATCATATTCAGAATGATTTTGGCAATGATTCGAATTTTTAATATTTTTTATTTATGCGTTATGTATGTGCAAAAAACATGACAAGCACTAAAATTCCACTAAGACATTATGTTAATAAATCAAAGGAGTGAAAATTCTAAACGATATATCTATGAGAAAATCGCAACAATGTCAGTAACAAAAAGAGAGCCCAAACAGAATTAACACTTTTGCATAAGGAATGTAGGCTAAACCTATCTTGAGAGCCTGTTTGCAGGCTAGACAAATTTGGGCACAACTAAAATTATATCTGACTGTATATAGATTACTAGTTGAAAAAACGTTTTAATACAAATTAGTTATTATAGTTATGAAAATTTAATTTAACAATAATTGCATATATATATATGCTCTTTCCTTTAATGTTTTGCATCCTTACCCGATTTCCTGCTGTTTTGATACTTTGTGAAAAATTCAATGATACTGTTTCGTCTTCGTCTAACTCCGTGAGTAATTGCCCATCGACAATATAATCGAGTGATATAACATCGGCCCATTGTGAAGGTGATTGCTTTCTAAATGAACAAAACAAAATTTGTAGGATTATATACACATTTTAAGGTTTGGTACTCCTTTCCAGAATGTGTAACAATGTGAACACAAGATTGTACCAGTCATTTCGGTTTTCACAGTATTTGGCCTACTAAGTTACACTCTCATAAGCTGGTGATGTTTTGCTATTCTCCGACAGGTTAATTAATACACAATAACTTTTATATACTTATATTAGTAGTGGTATACTTATACCAGTTATCTTATCCGTGGTTATGTGTGAGTAGTCGGTAGTACGTAGAGTTAAAGGAAAGGGAGAACTGAACATCCTGCAGGTTGAAATCATGCAGAATCAATCCAAATATGAAGGGCATTCACTGAAAACAACGCAAAATTGTTGACACTTAACCGCTTAAAAAAATTTATTTCAAAGAGCTTCCTTTTTCCAGCTGCATTTCATTGTGCCTTTAAGACAGATCATATCTTGTCATTCCTTATCAGTATTTAATTAACAAATATTAAAGATTTTCCGTGTTGATTTACAGTTCTATGAACACGAGTAGAAACTGTGAAAACGAGAAATTGTGCGTAAAATTGACAATTGAGAAATATCAACACGGCTCTTAGCCAACCAACCATCTATATTTACAAATGCAATATTATTAACTATATTTTTAATAACTACCTTTTTAGTGAACTCATTGTAGGTATCTGGCTCAATGAATGGGCAGATTCTTATACACAGAAAAATCTTGAACTTGCTGTGCTCGATTTATTGTCCATGCAATAAACGTTATTTGTACTGCTCAATACTTACAACCATTTGGAACAATTTACTAAAACATTCTTTATTTTCATTGTTACACTTTTGACTGTACCTAAGTTAACAAGATAATTGAAAAATAGAATTTTACATTATAAACCGAATCATTAATAATTCATACTAAGAAATGTTCGAAAGATATTGGTGCTTAATATCAAACTTACAATCAATTTATGAGGAAATTAACCAATTATTGCATTATTTTGCTCACAGGGTGATACTGGATAATTGGATGATACTGTATAACTGCAGAATTATATTAATTTATTCTTTGGACTGAATCAAAAATTCTCCCCACTTTAAGTACCAATTCATAAGCACGAGATTGATACAATTCGGGCTAGACGGGAAATTGTACACAGATTTCATCTACCTAAATATAATCTTTCTCCGATTTTTTTAATATCGACTGCTCATAATTAATTTCTTAAAAGTAACATCAATCACCCTTCATTAGTACTGGACGAAGTAACCTAGCTATATAAGTATTTATCAGCCTGACAAGAATTTACATAGCGTTTTTCTAGATAGCTACATTTCACAAGTACAGTGGGAATAAAGTCGATCAAAATTAAAGTAAGCATTTATAGGATTAGGAGCTCTTACATGATAGGCGACTTTGGCACATCTTTTCGATGGATTTAATCGGTATGGACGTGGTATTTGATTTCCATTGGCGTAGATTTCTGAAACTTGTCGTATGCACCACTAGTTCTAAGAACGAATAGGAAAAAAATTGAGTTAGGGTCAGGATTGTTGTAGAAAGATTGTTGCAGAAAATAATTAAGAAAATTATGAATCAATCAATCAATCAATATATTTATTAGCACCTGAAAATTTTACATAACTTCTCTTAATTAAATATAACATAATATCAAGGTGCACAAGCTAACTGTAATAACCTTGTAGGGTTAGACGAGACAGTTAACTTGTAATTTATTTATATCCAGTGGTGAGAGAATACTTTTATACGATGATCTTGAAGCAGGTCTGGTGTTGTAGTTCTGTCTTTGATTAACAGGGAAAAAGAATGTATTAAATGTTTCTGGCAAACTGTCATTATGAAAATCATACATAAATATTGCGTTATGATAAAAGACAAGATCATGCAATTTAAGGATCCCAAGCTCAATAAACAGAGGGTTTGAGTGTTCACACAAAGTTAAAAATGTAGTCATTAACCAAACTGCTTTTTTTTTGTAAAATATATAAAGGATTAATTGAAGAAGTATATGTGTTTCCCCAAGCTACTAGTCCTATATTAAATAAGGATATACTAACAAGTAATACAAGTTTATAAGAATATTACTGCCAACAAAATGCCTTATTCTAGATATAGCTCAGATGTTACGTTTTATTTTTTTCGAGACTTTTGAAATGTGTGCTTTCCAATTCAAATGACAGTCAATCACAACTCCTAAATAAGTGGTATAAATTTCTTGTTTAAGTATTTGACCATTTAAAGAAACTTTTACTTGATAAATAACTCTCTTTTGAGCAGGGTGAAATATAATATAGTTGGCCTTTTCAACATTCAAAGATAATTTATTTGCACATAACCACTGATAAACATGCGAAATTTCCTTGTTGACAATGGTTTCAAGTGTTAATAAACTCTTATTAGCATAAAACAAATTTGAATTATCGGCAAAAAGGTGAAAATCAAGAATTCTAGTAGAATTTTGAATATCATTGATGTATAATTAAAATAGAAGAGGTCCTAAAACAGAACCTTGAGGAACACCACAAGAAATATTTAATAGCCCAGATGAAATACTTCCCACTGTAACAAATTGTTTCCTATTGTATAGGTATATATGGCTTTAACCAATTGTGTGCTACACACTTAATTCCATAATATTCAAGTTTCTGCAGAAGGATGTTGTGATTGACTGTATCAAAAGCTTTGGATAAATCTAGAAAAATTCCACAAGAATAATAACCATCCTCAACAGCTCTTTGTATTTTATCAGTTATTGACAAAATTGCATGCAAAACAGAATGTTTTGATCTAAAACCAAATTGCTTGTTAATATGTAATATATTGTGTTTGCTGATGAATTTATTAATCCTTTTGAACATGAGCTTTTCAAGTAATTTATTAAACACTGATAGCAAAGGTATTGGGCGATAGTTGTTCAGACTCATCGTTGACCTTTTTTATGTATAGGATTAATTCTGGCAATTTTAAAGCTGTCAGGGACAACACCATTTAACAAGGAGGCCAAGGAGCTATTAAAAATAATCTTCAGTGGTTTAGAATTTGTCTTTCGTTAATTTTAAAATATTAACAGGTATACTAAAAGGACCAACAGCCTTTGAAGAATTTAGTTTATTAATTTCTAATATAATTTCCTCTGAAGTAATTGGGTTTAGAAATATATCATTTAATTGCTGATGTGACATAAAATCCATTGGGGTTGCTTCTACAGAAGGTATAGATGAAGCTAAATTATTTCTTATGTTGGCAAAAATATTATTAAACGCATTGGCAATAGATTTACTATCAGTTAGAACATTTTCACCCTCAAGTATTTTTGATGGTGAACTGCTACTACCCCTTGGCTTAGAATTTATGATTTGTTTGATTCCTTTCCATACATTTTTCATATTTGATTTGTTGGACATAAAATATTTATTATAATAATTTAAATTTTTGGTGATAATATACTGTTCTAGATTTAATGTCTTTTTTATATAAGTTATTTTTGATCTTCAATGACATTCTAACACCAGATGTTATCCATGGTTTGGATCTGTGTTTAACATCCTTTCTACTAAGCTGCTTTAAAGGAATATGCTTATCAATAATCTTCATTAGTTCAGAATTAAATGTATGAAACATTTCATTAACATTATCATCGAGAGCAGAGGAGGAATGAGGGTCTTCCCGAAATGCAACGCGGGAATCAGTGCGGTCATTATTATTCAAGCTATTTATTCTCAACGCGCCCTTCGATTAAAAACTGTTGAAATATATTGCGATTTTTGCCGTGAAGA